GTGTGTGTGTGAGAGAAAGAGGTAGTGTGTGCGTATGAGAGAGAGGTAGAGAGTGTGTGCGAGATTGAGTGTGTGTGTGTGAGAGAAAGAGGTAGTGTGTGCATATGAGAGAGAGATAGAGAGTGTGTGCGAGAGATTGAGTGTGTGTAACGTGCTAGGCTCACAATGAATGGTTTACTGCACAGATTAATCCTCAGTAGAAACACATTCTCAATGTGGTGATGTTCATGATTTTTACATGATGTTAAATTTACTGTTAAAGCACCAAGTGGATCTGATGAAACATAAGACAATTTAAACTGTAAAATCATTCTGTTTTCACCCTTGCAGAACAGGTGGTGACATGACAAGAACTTGTAGTGACCTGCTCAGAGGGAACTCACTGTTTTTCAATATCCCAGAGACAGAGTGTCACTGAGATACTGAGTACACACTAGTTATACTTGAAGGTTACATTGGAACTGGAGAGTTGATAATGACCCCACTTTATCTTCATTTAGCAGGGTTAGTTCTCACAGATAATGGTAATGCAGCATGGTACTAGCGCTGTTTTCCCATCTGGTAGACACTCACTCCACAGGATTGGCACCGGTGCACAGCCAGAACCTGCTTGCATCCAGGCTAAATCGGGCATGTGAACTGACCCTCTTTACTCACGGAGCAGAGTGCATTCACACAGAGAATCACACGCTGCTCTGTTGCTGTGCCATTTTGGTACTGGGCAAGAAAAGCAGCCGGATTTACTCTGACCCAAAGCTACATTTCAAAGCAGGATTTTAACTCTGGCCTCAGGTTCAGTGGTAGAACTCTTATTTTATTTGACTATGGGATGTGGCCAACCCAGCATGTATTGCCTGATACCTAATTGCCCAGAGGGCAGTTAACAGTCACATGCAGCCCAGACCAGGTAAGGATGGCAGATTTTCCTCCATAAAGGGCAGTGAGCTAAATGGGTTTTTACAACAATTGTTACACAGTCATTGCTAGACATTTAACTCCAGCTTTCTATCATTTCAAATGCTCTCATTTGCCATTGTGGAATTTGAACCCAGGACCACAGAACATTACCTAAGCCACTCGTTCAGTGGCAATACCACTATGCCACCATTGCTTACCTCTCATCCAAATGGTTGAGAGTCAAACCCCACTCCAGAAACATAATCACAATAACCTAAGAAACTCTCCAGCCAAATGCTGCGTTTTGATTCGATGATGGTGCCCACTCAGGCACGAGTTTTAACCATGGGCCTCTGTGTGCTTGTACAGGCCCATTCACAACCCATTTGGGCACATCGGGATTCCAATAAGGGAATGGGATCCAGAGATCAGGACTTGTTTCTTTTTCTGTTATTATGATCCCAGCTTCTGTTACTGCTGGACATGTTGGATCTCAGAATGAAATCTGGTTGGATAGTTTTTATGTTAGTTGCTCTGATGTTAATCACTCAAACATAGTCACAATAGGCTGCAGTTCTTCTATTTATCAGTTTGGTAAAACAAAGGTGGGCAGGACTTATACAATTAAAAGTAGGGCCTTGGGCAGTGTTGAAGAATAGACAGACCTAGGGGTTCAGGTACATAATTCTTGAAGTTTGTGTCACACAGAGATAGGGTGATTAAAAAGGTGTTTGGCTTGCTTGCCTTCATTGCTCAGTCCTTTGAGTAGAGGAGTTGGGACATTATGTTGAGGTCGTACAGGACATTGGTGAGGCCTCTTCTGGAATACCGTGTCCAGTTCTGGTCACCCTGTTACAGGAAGGCTATTATTAAGCTGGGGAGGGTTCAGAAGAGATTTATCAGGATGTTGCCAGGATTGGAGTGTTTGAGTTATAAGGAGAGGCTGGATAGGTTGAGACATTTTTCACTGGAGACTGAGAGATGATCTTATAGAGGTATATAAAATCATGAGGGGTATAGGTAAGGTGAATGGCAGGTGTCTTTTCCCTGGTATGGAGGATTTCAAGATGACGGGCCATATTTTAAGGTGAGAGGAGAAAGATTTCAAAAATATGTGGGGGCAACATTTTTTTTTTAAACACACAGTGGTCATGTGTGGAATGAACTTCCTGAGGAACAGATGGATGCGGGCACAGTTACAATGTTTAAAAGACATTTAGATAAGTACATGAATAAGAAATGTTTGGAAGAATATGGGCCTAACGCAGGCAGGTGGGACTAGTTCAGTTTGGGAACATGGTCAGCATCATCTGATTGGACCGAAGTATCTGCTTCTGTGCTGAATGACTCTGACTCTGTAACTGAATTTTATTACACAAAGGGCAAAACAATAAAGTAACAAACCACACTATTTAGATCAGGAAAACAGTTTAAAAAATAATAAAACACACAGCAAAACAAAATTTCCCAGTGCTATTCATTACAAAGGCTCAAATCTGGAGAAATTACCGCTTTATATCAAATATTTCAGTGCTATTTAATTGATTGGCTCCAGTTTATTTCCTATGAACCATAGAGTCTTCTTAAATGAATACTCCCAACATTGAGAACTTAACCCTTCTCAGCTTCTAGTAGCCTGCAGATTTCTAATCAAACACTCTGGTCTGGAGGTTTTACAAACTGACATTTTCTACTGAGATAATTTATTTTGCTAACTTTTCTGAAAAACCCCTTTCTAGAAGAAAGGCTATACTTGCTTCTGACTCAATCAGGTCTCCTCTAAACTACTAGAACTGATTGAAAAAAACTGCAATCTTGGTTTTCATAAGCTCAAATCAATCATTGATCATTCTCAACTGAAATAAAGCTAATGGGTTTTGTCGCTTGTCTACCTGTTACAAACCAGCTCAACCTTTTCCATTAACACTCCAGGGGTCAGTCACCTGCTCTCTGACACAGATTAGATTAAGTCACTGTCCCAGGAGGACTGTCTGACCTGGTGTTTTGTTTAAAACATTGCACAAAAAGTAACAAACTAACATGTTTTTCTTTGCCACCACTTGCCTCATCATTGAGATGTTTGGACTGAAAGCCTGATGCAGGTTGACAGACTAGTTACCTGTTAGTAATCTCCTCCCAGTCACTGAAGTGCAGCATGGATATTAAAGAGCGAGTATTGGAGTCTTCGTAGCTTTGTCTTTGCTCAACCCTTCCCCTGGAACTCCCTCTGAAACAGGACCAGGTAGGAAGACTATAGGCCAGGGCAGAACCTGATGGGGTCTGGGCGGTGAGTAAATGGTGAGATGTGTGGCAGATTCAGGCGATAAACACAACAAGGCCCATCTCATTGTCACAATCACCTCACTCCATCTTTCTGCTTTCCACTAGGCACTGGATCAATGCCAGTTAATGTTCACCGTGGCTTATTAAATGCTTTGTTAATGCCTCAACAACCATTTTACTAATTTTGCCACACATTGGGAAAACAAAGCGGGCAGGGCAGGGTTAGTGGTGTCGGGGTTGGGGTGAGTGAGGGAGGATATTGCAGGTGATAGTGAGAGTGCATGAACATGAACCTTGGTGGGAGGTGGTTGCAGTAGCAGTGAGTGAGTGTGGGTGAGATATTGGAGAGAAGATGGTGTAACCTAATCCTGTCAGAGTGGAGAAAGACACGGGCCTCTTCCCTGCCATG